AGCTTGGAGCACTAAAAACTGGCTATCTCCTCTTAGAATACTCTTGGTCCGATTTTAGGGCTTAGTGGTTACATATATGATGTAGAATTCCAAGAGTCACTTGTAAACCCTAATTCTTACACTTAGTTTTATGATCCAATAATTGATTTGGACTAACACTTCATGGACTATCTCATAAGCTTAGTCCATCACAAATCAATTATGGATCATTAGCCCAAACCATATGTATCACTGATTTACATAATCAGTCCCCGTTAATTTAATCAGTCTCTTTTGATCACTAAATTAATTCCAAATTAATTCTTGATCAATAGTAATTAAATAATATGATTTCTCAATTAATATATTATACTTATAATATATTAATAAATCACAAATAACCTCTTTCTCAAATATCCATCCTATCAAATTGTTCTGGTGAATGCAACCCAAAATGGACCATGCTACGATCGGGTCAAGTACATACCAATTATAGTTATCGGCTTAGACACCTAATCCAACAGTCTCCCAATTGGATAAGTCTAATAACTATAATTGCCAATGCAACTTCGAAATCCGATTAGCAATCGTAGCTCTCAAAAGCCGCTGTCGAATTCTGACGTGTCCTTTAGATAAGGGATCATATAATCCTTTGTTCTTCAAGATATCATGTGGACATATACATGGAACATAGTCATACTTATTGTCCAGTAGGTTGTTTCCCGATTTCTGATTTGTTTGACATAGAACTTAATTGAACACATCAATTGAGTTCTGACCGGGCCCGACACATAAGTCAAAACAAAATCATCGAGGGGCCCAAGATATCGCTTTTATTCCTCTTAGGATAAAAGGAACAGATAAACTTTGACTTATATGCTTGTACTAATTACTCATTAAATCATACACAATAGCACGCTTTATAACATCAAGTTACTGATGCGTTTTCGCACTATCAATGCACAACCAACTCGTAATCAACAACTCATATATCTTGGTTTGAAGATCATATAAAATATTATCGTCTCACAATCACTCGTGATAGAATTCCATGAAGTGATTCATGTGAGCGTGGGTTTAATCCAATACTCAAATCTTATTTCAGGAGCACTCATGAACGTTGTAGCAAACGTTTGCTATGTCTAAACACCTTAGACAATCTAGAAGCCAAATCATGACAGTCTAACCTCATAGCCTACTTCCAAAGTATGATCAACTGTGGATGGTTTGAATAATCTTATTATTCTGGAAGTCAAAAGATGCAAATTGAAACAATAGTAAACAATTGACACAAGATAGTAACTTTACTCATAAATAAAACTCCTTTTATTCAATCATCAAATGTCAATTACATTTTATCTTTTGCAAGTTTCTAAACAACTATCTAATCACTAAAACTAATATCGTCCTTCAGCCCAATACTCCTAGCATGCTGCAAGTGCTTAACCCTACTTAGTCCCTTCGTAAGGGGATCTGCTAGGTTCTCCTCTGATGATACCCTTTTTACTACGAGGAGTCCTTCTTCTATCCGATGTATTATGAAGTGATATTTTCTGTCAATGTGCCTGGATTTGCCGTGATCCCTTGGTTCCTTGGTTAAGGCAGTCGCACTCTCGTTATCACAGAAAATCTCCATAGGCTCCTTTACAGCTGGTATAACTCCAAGGTCTCCGATGAAGTTCTTTAGCCATATCACCTCCTTCGACACTTCACTTGCTGCTATGTACTCTGATTCGCACGTTGAATCAACTACAGTCTCCTGTTTGGAACTTTTCCAAGTTACTGCTCCTCTATTTAGGGTAAACACCCAGCCCGACTGAGAGCGGAAATTATCTCTGTCGGTCTGAAAGCTGGCGTCACTATACCATGTCACTCTTAAGTCATCACTCCCACTGAGGGTAAAGACCCAGTCCTTTGTCCTTCGGAGGTACTTAAGAATGTTCTTTACTGCAGTCCAGTGAGCTCTACCAGGATTCCCTTGATATCTGCTGACTATGCTCAAAGCAAAGGCCACATCAGGGCGAGTACATGTCATAGCATACATGATCGAGCAAATTACAGAAGCATATGGTACTCGGCTCATCTCTGCTATCTCAGCATCGGTACTCGGGCTTTGAGTCTTACTCAATTTGGTATTGCTTAGGATAGGTAATTCTCCTTTCTTAGAGTTCTCCATGTTGAAATGTTTCAACACCTTGTCCAAGTAGGTACTTTGACTAAGTCCTATTAGTCTTTTACTCCTATTTCTCAATATCCTTATCCCTAGAATGTAAGTAGCTTCTCCAATGTCCTTCATAGCAAAACACTTTCCAAGCCAAGACTTAACCTCCTGCAAGGTTGGAATGCCGTTTCCTATGAGTAGTATATCGTCTACATACAATACCAGAAAGCTAACTATACTCCCACTAGATTTGACATATACGCATGACTCATCCTCGCTTCTCGAAAAGCCAAATTATTTGACTTTCTCATCGAAATAAAGATTCCATCTGCGAGATGCTTGTTTCAATCCATAAATGGATTTCTCAAGCTTACACACTCTGTTAGGGTACTTCGCATCGACAAAACCCTCTGGCTGACTCATGTAAACATCTTCAGCCAACTTCCCATTTAGGAAAGCGGTTTTGACATCCATTTGCCATATTTCATAATCATGAAATGCAGCTATGGCTAGTATAACCCTAATAGATTTTATCTTCGCTACTGGTGATAAGGTCTCGTCATAGTCAACTCTGAGAGTTTGAGTAAAGCCCTTCACAACCAATCGCGCCTTATAAGTGTGTACTTTCACATCCATGTCGGTATTCTTCTTGAAGATCCATTTGTACCCGACCGTCTTACGACTTGGTACATTGTCAACCAAGTTCCAAACTTGATTGTCATACATGGACTGAATCTCGTTGTCCATATCCTCTTTCCATTTTGCGGACTCGGGGCCCGCCATGGCTTCCTTGTAGTTATTAGGATCATCCAAATTTACCAGTGTACTATCATTGATAAACGTATCACCATCTGTAGTAATATGGAAACCATAAAACTCATGTGCCATTTTAACTCTACTGGAACGTCTCAGAGGTAAGGATTCGTCAACTGGTTCAACAGGAGTTTCCTCCTCGGGTTGAGTGCTAGTGTTTGAGGTTCCTTCATCACTTAACTCTTGAAGCTCTTCAAGGTCAATTTGCCTCCCACTGTCCTCTTGGCATATGAGTTCTCTTTCGTGAAAAACCCCTCTCCTTGAAACGAAGACAACATTGTCACTCGGTCTATAGAAGAGATATCCAAAGGACTTCTATGGATAGCCGATGATAATACAACACTCACTATGAGGTTCAAGTTTGTCGTGAGTCTCTCGTCTTACGAAAGCATCGCATCCCCAACCTTGATATGTGCTAACGAGGGAACCTTCCCTGTCCACATATCGTGAGGTGTTTTGGCAACCTTCTTAGTTGGGACTAGATTAAGGATATGGGCAGCAGGCTTTAAGGCATACCCCCAGAATGAGATAGGTAACGAAGCTCGACTCATCATGGAACGAACCATGTCCAACAAGGTTCGATTGTGCCTCTCAGCCACACCATTAAGCTGCGGTGTCCTAGGTGACGTCAATTGTGAAACAATTCTATATTCCTTAAGATAGTCATGGAACTCAATACTAAGATATTCACCACCTCGATCGGATCGGAGATAAGCCCGGTCTTCGCCCCGGGACGGTTTTTTGTTGGTTTTTTTAAAGTACATTGCTATTTCGTTACATTTTTATCAAAAATTAAAAGACTTAAAGTTTCAAATAGAAGAATTATATGCAAAAATTAATAATGTAGTTACTTTTATTTGTAGTGATAAATTGTTTTTAAAAGGAAAAGTTGAAAGTATGATGAAATAATTAAAAAACATTAATCCTCCTACAATCACCATCGAAGAGGTGTCGATTAGTCAACACTTTATTCACCATGTAGTAAGTCTTTGGAGAGGCATATTTTTGTAGTTTACTTAGATTTATTAAAAAATTTTATTTTCTTTTGAAGAAAGTTAAATGATTTTTATTAATTTTCGATAATTAAAAAAATAGAATCTTTATTTAATAAATATGATCTATAATTTTGGAATTTAGAAGTTACATTCATTAATTATAGGAATTCATTAATTATATATGATTTACTCATATTAAATTAAATTGTAAAATTACTTTTTTATCCTTACACTAGTTTATAACCCGTGGGAACCACGGTTATAAAATTAGTTAAACTTTTATAATTATTCATCAGTTATTATTTTTTTTAAATAAGTCATTTTAAATAAATTATTAATTAAGAGATATATCAAAAATTTAAAGTTATTATAACTTCAAATTTAACATATAATTAGAAAATGTAAATTTGAATTTTGAAATGAGTTGCCTAATATATATATATATATATATATATATATATATATATATATATATATATATATATATATATATATATATATATATACATGCCACATGACATAATATTAATGAGGAGTTGTATTAGAGTGACACTTAACAAAAGGATATTAGAATTATTCTTGTATTCTTAACTTTTATTAGAATAGAAATATTGATTGGTGTAGAATTATTCTTGTATTCTTAACTTTTTCACGTTCTCGGTTTAACCCGTATGTTATATTTATAATTTGTACTAAAAAAATCAACATACTTAATTTATTTGTTTTTCTTTTATTACATTGCAATTTTTATGTGTTTAATTTTTAAGTATATTTTCATTGTTTTTTATTATTTGTACATAATCTAACTAAAAAATTTCAATCTATTAATTTTAAAATATCAATTAAGTTGAGTTTGAATCGACTAATCGGGAAATTTTGATCTTTGCATGCAGAATCTTTATTAATTATTGATTAACCAAAAACCAAATAGAATACATGCAAATTATCACCAAACCAAATCAACCCTAAATTTGCAATATATTCATGATTTTTCGACTACTAGTCATAAATTTGGAATCTCATTATTGCCTTCGAAATTCTTCTTGTCCGCTTTAACGACCGCTTTTAACTATGAATTTTTCTTGGAGCATACGTATCAGGTTTTGTTTGTTCACTTTTTCCGAAACGATTGGTGCGCTTTTCCTACTTCTTGTCTGCGTCAACAACGCTTTCTTCCATGGTAGGTCTTGGTTGCGATGGATTGGCGATGGAACATGGTAGCAGCTGTGGAAGAAAGGATGCTTAAGTGCCTCCATAGCTGTGGGCCTCAAGCATGGATTCCAAGAAAGAAGTGCAGCAATCAGACACAATGCTTCACTGCTTGCAGATGGTAACAGGGACGCAAGAGGCACACCAGGAAGGTCTGGAAACTGATAATTCATATTAACCGCAAGTTGAAGTCCCAATTTCCATTTGCTTTCTGTTGGACTTCCGATCACACTGCAGATCTTATAAAATACTTCTCCGCCACTATTACCTTTAAACAGTCGCTGATTGGTATATAACTCCGCCATGATTGCACCCATTGCCCACATATCAACTGCAGGATCATGTACAGAAGAACGGAGAAAAACCTCAGGGGCACGATACCAGCGCGTCGTGACATAACCTGTGTATGGTGGTTTCCTATTGCTCTCGCGAGCTTGACCAAGATCAGCAATCTTTATCACATCACTGGAAACAAGAAGGTTATCTGGTTTGAGGTCGCGATGAAAGTAGCCTTTTCCATGCATGTATGCAAGACCTTGAAAGAGTTGAAAGCACAAGTTTCTGATCTCACTTTCAGAAAAAGCAGCCATATTTTTCATACGATCGTAGAGACTGCATTCCATGCATTCGAACACCAAGTACAAGAAGTCGTTTTCTTTGTGGATTTCTTTGAGCTTTACGATATTCGGATGATTCATCTGGCGAAGTGCCTTGACTTCTATTAGGTTTGTGCATTCTTCCATTGATGTATACTTTTCGTACAATTTTTTGACCGCAACAACTTCACCAGTCTTTTTATTTAATGCTCGCCAAACAACCCCATACGTTCCACTCCCAATTTCCTCGATTTTTTCATACTTTTGCATTGTGCGGTGAATAGCGAATGTGTAGATAAGGGCATATAAGGCATTTATAATACTTAGAGATTTTCATATATCGAAGATTTGTGGGTTTAGGTGTTGTAATTATCTTAAAACGATTTGATTACTTTCCTATTATGAGAAGATTGCTTTGGCTCCAAGGCTGCTCTTCCAAAATTTGAAGGATTAATGATAATAGATACAAAAGATAAATACCAAGGAATTCTCATCCGGATACAAAAGATAATTTTTTTCCTATACACAGGGGAAGACGCCAAACAATTACACTCCGTACTATAAGAAAAAGGTATCCATGGTGATGATATGTGTTCGTTGCTACTTATCCATATATATGTTGTCGTCCGCACAGCCTTGTCACAATATATACCTTTTGTCATCGCTATACATTTCGCCACCATAGGTCTATATCGCCATATATGGCGACGACACGTCTTTGCTATAACATCAATTTATAGAAACAACTAATGACGACATGCGGTCGCTATAGCCACCGTACATATTAAATTTTTTCTGTTTTTTTTAATTATTATTATTCCAGTTTTTCCCAAACATTAACTTTGTAAAATAGTAAATCTAATAAAAAATATTGAAATTTCATACAAACACATCCCAGTTCTAATACAAATTACCATCGTCATTTAAAGTATCTTAGATGCGATGCAGCGTTTTCTTGCCTCGAATAATTAAATATGCATTCTTCTGACATCAAAATAAAATTTAAATTACCAAGACCCTTTTAGATCAACCAATTTCAAGATATTGTATGACTAACTCTCAATAAATACTAGCTAAAAGGGATGTTAAAACAACATTATGACACCAATAAGGTACTTACATGATTAAGGGTACCATTTCTAACCTTATACAAGTTACAAACTTAGAGAAATTATTTCATTTGATTTAAAAATATCTTCTAAACTTGAAATTTGTAACTCCCGTAAATTCGGGGCTAGACATGAAGATAAAGTAAATAATCTTAACTAAAGATGTAGTTGTCATACTAACTATCTCGTAAATATAATGAGCGCTTAAATCCGACTTCGTATGAAAAAGTTATGTTTCTTCGAAGTTTCGCGATCAACCCGACACAACTATGTGTGTAATAAAAGTGAATCGGAGATAAATTGCTTATTAGCCTAAGTAATCTCAAAAAAAGTCGTAGTAATCATAAAAACGAGAGCGTGCAAATAAATAATGCCTAAATCTAACTTCATATGAAGAAGTTATGATTTTTCGAAGTTTCAGTATAGCAGTGTGCGACACATAAATTGAAATTTTGATCAGTTGAGTGTTAGCCAAAACAATCTAAACGAGAGTTGAAGATCTCGTAAATATGAACCCGTCAATATAAAGAAAGCCGAGAACGAATTTCGTATGAAGGAATGATGGTTTTCGCACACACTTTAACAATCCAATCTCTATAAAAATAAGATTTTAAAATAGAGTGTGAATTAGCAACTGATGTCTAAAGGAAAATTCTAGAGCTCGTCGAGAGGATTCCAGGAATATAAATAACGTCAAAAACAAAGCTTGTATGCAAAAGTTATGGCCATTCGAAGATCTTTGAAAAATTACCTGGCCTTATGGCATGGCAACATGTGGAGGTGCCACGTGTCCATGTCGGGTAGTCGCCTCCTCCGCAACACAAAGTAACATGGAACCAAGAAATTGAGACATGTGATACCATGGATTGGTAACGCATGGCAGGTTCTAGAAGAGAGTGACGTTGACTACTCAGTGATCCTTTAGGATAGGTCTCGTAAGATCATCTTAGGATTAGTGAGTGAAAATAATGAGAATGGAAAATTGGGTTATTTGTTTGATGCGAAATATATAATTAAAACAAATTAATTATAATATTTGTTGGATTAGGTGTCTAAGCTCATAACTATAATTGGTATATATTTAAATTGATGGTAACACAGTCCTTTTGGGCTGCCCTCAAAACTAGCAACTGAACAGATAATTTTGGAGAAAGAGGTTGATTTATTATTTGATTAATAAATTTAAATAAATAATTTGTTAATATATTATGAGAATAATATATTAATTAGAAACAGTAATGTTCAATTAATATTTAATCAGAAATTAATTGGAGTTAATTTTGGGATTTAGAGAATTAGTTAAAAGTGCAGGGACTGAAGTGCAATTGTTCAATAGTTGAGCAAGAGGCAATCCAGAACCCTCCATAGGCTATGGACAGTTTTCATATGCCTTAGGGTTTCTAGAATAGTCTTTGGTAGAAAAACAGAAAAGTGGATAATTACCCGGTTTAAGATAATCTTGGATGTGGGCTTATTAGGGTTTCCTAACTGCACTATAAATAGGGAATAATCCTATGATTTTCGGCCAACTAGTTCCCTTGAGGGTTAGGCTGGAAATTCATCCTCTCTCCTCCTTCTCAATCATCTTCCTTTGCTAATGTTGGGTGTGAGCCATTAGAGGCGTGACATTTTTGACGCTTGCTCTCAAGGCTTCAACAACACAAGGATTTGCATTGTTATTACTATATAACAATCAAGGTATGAATCATCTAACCCTTATTGTGTATTTCGATTATATACTAGTATTCTAGGGTTTTACATTTTGTTGTTCAAAGTTGTATGTTCAATTAGAGAAAACATAGATCAATTTTTTAGGGTTGCATGTACACATAGGATTTATATGTTTTGCATAAAACTCATCAGTTGTATCAGAGCGTAGGTTTAGTTTTCTATTGAATTGAAAAAATAGTTGAACTTGAACAAGGAGAAGCAAAACAGAATCGTCATTCTGTTCCCCCAACACGGCATGTTATTCTTCCACCACGACGTGTTGACCTGCGAAATCGTCCTAACGCGACGTGGTGTTTGTTTACCACAACGTGTTGGACTGTCAGATCCACAAAAATCGGATTTTTTTTGCTTATCTCATGAATTGATTAGGATAATTACCTTAAATATTGTCTTAAATAAGTAAAACTAAATAATTATCTAAGTTATTGGATATCCTTATCTTGAACTCATTATTGGTTTATTTTTAAATTAAAATTAATTTCTTAATTTTCTAAAATTAAAATATAAATCTTAGTATTTTGGAAAGTTTAAAATACATCCTTATGGATCTTATTATTAATTTAATTAAGTAATTAATTAAAGGATAATCAATAAATCCATAAAATGGTTTAAATTTAATTAAATTAAAAGTTTAATTTATTAAAAGATTAAACCCTTGTAATTTTAAAATGTTTTAAAATACACCTTATACTATGTATATATAATTAAAAGTTTGATATATATTATATGTATAAGAAAATTCAGTTGAACCGCTAGTACGCCTCATTCACGAAACCATACTATAAGGGGAGTTTAAGGAAGCGGCCTGTAAAATGACTGTCATTGGGTATCCATTCTTACCCATCGCTCTCTTGTATGGTGGAGGGTCGTTAGCCAAACGGGTTGATAGGACAAATTAACCTCATTAAAAGTATAATGACAAAAAGTAACTAAACTAATTTCTAAAATCTCACTCTTGGTTACTTTAGGAAAATGTGGATTTATATGATAATCCATGAAATTGCACATTACACTTTATGAGTCGTTAGTGGAGCGTGTGTGGTTAACCGTCACACTAATGAGGGACTAATAAAGAGTGGTAATGGGTGTCTCGAAAACTATCGTTGATTAATGGAGCGCATGTGGCTAACCGGCACATTAAAACGAGATGATAAATGACATCGAGACCGCCAAGCTAATTTGCATGGTTATTCACATCTCGTTTGTGATCATCGGCATCCCAATCACAAAAGTGAGAGCATAATCGAGATTAAACATGTCATTGATTAGATTCAGTGAATCCCAAAAGATCTAGGAGTTTCATAAGATTGAAATTGGTAAAAGCCTTACCTACCTATAATAGATTGGAATTTGATTACGGCATCCTTCTTCAAAGTTCGAATCGAAAATATGGATATTAGCCTTAATTTAGATTTATGGGTTAACAATTAAGGATTAAAATCAACTAACTTGAATTTTTTGTCTCCCTTTACAGATGTCGAGTCAAGACAAACATGGTCTTCCTCATTCTTTTGGAAAGGGTTCTCCTCATTCTTCTGAAAATGATCTTCCATATTCTCATCAAGGTGAAAGTATGTTCCCATCTTTGAACAATGGTGGAAATGGAGATCATGCTTCTTCAACTCTTCCTCCTCTCCTCCTCCATCGACTCTCCCCATGTCACAATTTGAAAGATACAAAACTGTCCAAGCCCTATTGGCAAGTAAACATCAAGACGGAAACTTTGTATGTGCGCATGTTGTGAAAATGAAATCATACATTGTCAAATTGGATAGATTGGGTGTCGTTTTCCCAAGGGAGAAGACCATTGATATGGTTCTCCTTTCACTTCCTGAATTATATAGTCAGTTCGTTGAGGACTTTTATATGAGCGACCACGACGTGACCCTAATTGATCTGACACATATAATGATTGTTGCTGAAGCAGAAATGCTTAAGAGCACAAGTGAAGCAAAAGTGTCTGAAGGATCTGTCTCCAAAGTTTCCATGGATATTGACAATGGTGGTCTAGAAAAGATTTCTCTTCCCAATGGAAAGGGATCGGCCAAGGTCAAACCGTTTAATTGCATGGTAAAGAGAAAGGCTAGTTCTGAGATTGTTCCATGTGCTAACCCTAAAAAGTCCATATGTTTCTATTGCAAATTGAAGAGACATTGGTTGCGAAGCTTCCCAGACTACCTGAAATATCTTGGAGATGGTAAAGTCAAGCCGTGTGACTCCACTTCAGGTACATCCATTATCTAACTCCATTATTTTAATAAGTTCCTATTCATAGATTCTTAATACATGATGTGATGATCACATTTTGATGGTATTGCAGGATCTAAGAGAAAGAAGGAAGCTTGAGAAGAGTGAGTTGTATCTGATTGTGAGAAGATGGACTTCGGTCGCATGGTTCGATGATCAGATTTTGGAAGCTACTGCTTAGGA